CTGCAAGGTCAGCCCAAATTGGTGGAACCGACAGCCTTTGTTTTCCATCTTGGCGCTCTTCTGTTCCACATTCATTGCAGGGTTCCTTGTGTGCTTTTGGTGGCTCCTGCACCTTGAATGAATCAGGTCATTGTTTGGCATCCGGATCGCGCTCGAGTACACACCTTGAACCAGTTGGCCTTCTTTTTGTACTCCAAACATCATTATTCCCTCTGGTCCTTCCTTAGCCCCGTTGAGCATCTGACACTGTCTCGCACTCAGTTCGTCGCCTGGTTCGGCTTCGTGGACAACGTTCAGGCCCTTTGCAATTCCCCTTACATCTCTTCTAGTGATGACGAAAAGGGGGAGCGATTCGGTGTGTGAAGCAGAGCTTGGGACATCATTGAGAGGTGACATTGACAGGGCTACGGTCGCAGGCTTATTCGCAAAAAGGGTCAAAATGCCGTGGGAGGCCCATCCGTTTTGTGCAGTATTCAACCCAGCATCCTTTATGCAGCCATCGATTTCCTTTGAGTCTTGTTGTGTGGGTTTTTTGGACAGAGCTGCAGCCGCAGATGTTCCGACTATGTCCAGAACTTCTCTAGACAATGCGTCGATTGGAAAGCACGCTGCGCAGAGGAAGCTTGTGGCTGCAAAGATTCTGACTCATGATGACATGAGACACAGGAGCTTGCTTCTTTTTAGAATTATTCTAGAGTCCGAGTCTCAGGCCACGCATTTGGGAACTCAGCTGGCATTGTGCAAAACAAACAACCAGGAGGAGCTTTATTGGTCAACTCTTGAGGATACTTTTGCATCAAAAAGCAGTGCCACGTTGTACAAGAGGTCGAGGTCTTTGTGGCTTTATTTCTTGTGGCTCAAATCGTCGTGCAGTCGGCTTGGACTTGAGTTCTCAGAGGAATTGGTCTATGGATATCCTGTTCAGACAAGAAGGGATGGCAAAGCGCCGACTCATGGTCAAGCCTTTACCCAGTGCTTGAACTTTGTGCATGCGACCTGCGAAATGACTTCGTTCGATCCTACGCACCTTTCTGGGCGAGTCAAAGGTATAGTGAAGTCGATGGCAAACAACAAAAGGCCTCTCCAACAGGCTCGAGCTTTGTACAAAGAAGAGGTCATGGCTTTGGAGGACTTTGTACTGGACTTCAGTCATCATCCTTGTATTAGGATCATTGCTGGATACTTGTTGTTTTGCTTCGTGGCATGTTGTCGTTTCTCGGACCCCATGTACGCCATGGATTGGCAGATCTCGGAGTCGGGAAACATTGTTCTGATAGAGGCCAGGACCAGGGTTCACAAGACGGCTCACGTTCAGAACAGACAGTCTATATTCCTCCCGCTCGTGGGGCTTGGCCGGGTTTTCCGTGTGGAGAGTTGGGCAAAAGTCTGGACAAATCTCAGGAGGGATTATCTTGGGCAAGCCAGGTCATTTGTTCTTCCAGCCTTTTCGGAGCAGACTTCGGAGTGGGTCAATCGGGCCATGATCGCCTCAGAGGGAGCATTGTGGCTAAGAGATATTGTAGCTACCTATAGGATCACCGGTAGCAGCTTGACGACCCATGGGCTCAAGGCTACACTTTTGACTTGGGTCACCATCAGTGGAACTTTGAGCTTTGATCAAAGGAGAGCACTTGGCCACCACGTCGATCCAGGTAGCCGAGCACCTTTGACTTACAGTCGGGATAATGCCATAGGTCTCCAAGTTCCCTTAGCCATGATGTTGAAAGCCATAGCTGAAGGAAGGTTCGATCCGGATCTTCCCAGAGCAGCACAGGTGGACAGGCAGGTTGATCAGCTCCTCATGGAAGTGGGTTCAACTGATGCTGGATTTGTTGTGGGCCTTCAGCCGCCCTTAGAAGTCGACGGAGCTTTGAGTGACGGGACCGATGTGGATAACGCACTGGACATCGAGGACAGTGCCGATCAGGTCGACGTTGACGAGATTTGCATCGATGCGAACCGAGCAGCAGGCCTGGTGACTCAGCATAGGTCCAGTGGAGTTTTGCATTTTGTAGCCTCGCATGACAAGCTAGTTTGCGGTAGGAAGATCTCAAGGGCTTACGCCATTGTCGAAGACGATTTGATTGCGAAGTGGCCGCTTTGTCGGCAGTGTCAGAAGTCCGGAGGTGAGGAGCTCGTAGCCCAGGTTTGCCCTGACTGAACTCCGCCTCTTGCTCTATAGGGAAAAATTGCGCACCCGACGAAAATGATTTCTTGTTTTTGCATTGTTGCAATTTTGCATTGCGCTTGATTGCGAATTGTGAACAAAGACATTGTATGCGTACATTGTGCGAATTGTCTTTAATTGTATTAAATTGCCTGCTCTTCATTTGTGCTATTAAGATCCGTGAAGGTCACCGATTTTGAAAGCTTGGGTCCGCGCGCGCGCGCGCCCTCTTGGGCTCTAAAAACGGCCGTCGGAGGCGCGCGCGCGCGCGGACCCAAAGCCAAACGGTGACCTCACGGGATCTTATAATTTTTGCACTTTCCGTGAGAAGAGTCATTGTCGTTGGACGGTGATTGAACGACCGTCATTGTATGCTGCTCGAGTCAGCTGGGTATTGATGAAAATGCCCCAAACATCTTTTGAACGTGTCAACCAAACGACCCCTGGGGCATTCTCATTTCACTGGTGTGATTCTCGTTGTAGGATATAGATCGCGACACTTACAACCAAATGAGAGGATCATACATTGTGCTAGAACAAACATTTGTTGAACCAGGTTCGGATCCGTCAAGGCAACAGATTCAACCAAAACACTTTTGGTTAACTCTGACCTAGGCGAAACTGACCATCGAAGTCATGGATTCCAAAGCTGCGTTCGCTGAGAGAGCTAAGGCTGTGGGAGTGAGCGAGACTCACGTGACTGCTTTGGCAGGAAAGCAATTAGACACGTTTGGGGCTTTTGCATTCATCTCATCTTTCCAGCCAGGTGGAACTGATGAGACACCGTTCGTCCGTGCAATCGGAGCCGCTTTAGGTGTGAATCCTGCCACGTTCTCAGAGGCCGAATTGTCATCCTTCAGGCGCTTGTATTATGAGGCACGCACCTTGGCAATGGGTGACTTGAGATCTCGCTTGGAACGCAAGGATGGCGAAGCACCTCGCAAGATTCCTATGGCAGAACGTTCACAGCTTTTGGACCTCCTCAAAAATGAGCTGCCAGGGATTACGATCGATTTGCAACTTGAGCCTGCGCACAAACTCGTTGACATGGTCAAGCAGCAGGTGGAGGACAATTGCATTCGTTTCATTCCCTTGAAAGAATGTTTGAGTCGTGCATCCGAATTGCTAAATCACAAGCATGAGTCGGCCCTTGAGTTTTCAGGTGACGGTACTCTGAGATTGACTAAGAAGCAAAAAGAGCAACATGCCGACGTTCAGGGAGATTTAAAACTCAAGATGGCGTTTCAGCGACGCGCCTTGGCCTATCACATGGTTGGAGTCTCATCCTTTTTAGTGCAAGATAAGATCATTAGCTCTTGGTTCGCTCTCCTGACGAAGGAACCGGCGTCAGGTTACCGAGCTGTGACATTGCAACAGTTGGTTCAAGCAGACCAGGAGCTTTGGCTGCATGCTGCGCAGGAGGTTCGAGGTCAGAATTTGCTTGCGACCCCCAAACCTTTAGATCAGATGTTGGTGCAGTTGCAACAGAGTGCAGAGATCCGATATCATTTGTTGCCATTGCCAGCGACTCAGAAGGATCCCAAAGATCCTCCCAAGAAACGACAAAAGGGTGATCAGAAGGGTGACAAAGGCGGGGGAAAGAAAGGTGACAAGGGGGGCAAGGGTAATGTAAACTTGCCCAAAGATTGTGTTGCATCCACGCCGGCCGGGCTTCGCATTTGCTTCCAGTTCAATCGTGACCGTTGCAATCGACAGAATGCGGACAAATGCCACCGTGGAGTGCATGTGTGTTGGAAGCAGGGGTGTCATGGAAAGCACCCGTTCAGCAGCTGTGATCATTCGTGACCAGCCGGGCCAGAGGCGGATCATTTCGATCGGTCTCCAAGGCCCCCTATTGCATGCCATGATAGCAAATTTGCTTTAGCAGGTTTTTCCTTCGCTTTGCCCTGTCCTTTGAGTGATCTTAAACCTGTTTCATTTGAGTGTGCTTGTGAGCAACTTTTGTGTTTGGAGCTTTTCGCCGGGACTGCAACGTTGTCTCGATCTCTCAAAGACAATCATTTTTCCGTTTTGCCCGTCGACCACACTTCCGAACGGAAGCCGAAGGTCCATCTTTTGCAGCTTGATTTAACTAAATCTTGCGACCAAACAGTCATGTTGCATGCTTTGTGTTTTGCCAATGTTGCTTCAGGACACGCCGCCCCACCGTGCGGAACATCATCACGAGCCAGGGACAAGCCCTTGCCTCACCAGATGCGGCATATTCACGCACCTCCTTTGCGCTCGGAAGATCACCCCTTAGGCTTGAGTGATCTTGCACCTCGGGATAAGGCCAGGGTTCATAGTGCTAACCAGTTGTACGCTTTCACGGCATTAGCTGTTCTCATCCTCAGTATTCGCAGAGCGATCATCAGTGTTGAGAATCCCAGTCGGTCGTACTTTTGGTTAGTCATGCAGTGGTTTGCTGATCGCAGCGCATCCTTTTCAAGCGCCTGGCCTGCTTTGCAAGACGTTCATTTTCAAGCATGTGCCCACGGTGGCACTCGTGCGACTTGGAAGTGTTGGCGGTCCACCCCAGGTGTTTTCGATCGCCTTCGACAGCGATGTCCGGGGGGTCACCAGCGCGAATCGTTCCGACCTCGTTTGGATCACCGCTCAAACCCGGTTTTTCCGACTCAGGAAGAGGCTGCCTACCCCGCCGAACTCTGTCACAAGCATACTTTGTCCCTCATTGCCGAATGCAAGAAGCGTGGAGCCCAGTTCCCTGACTCTGCCTTTGCTCCGTTGGGTACCCTCAGTGAGCTTCCACTGCCCACCAAGCACGGAATTCGAGCCCTCCCGCCAATTGTGAGTGAGTATGGTCTCGTGACAGATCAGCATCCGGGCTCACAGCCCTTCAAAAAGTTGTCAAAACTGCCTTCTTTTGTTGAAAATGGGGTGTCGGGAGTGTCAAACACAGAAGGGAAAAGAGCTAAAGTCGACAACCCACGAAGGACAGAGGTCAAACTCTCTCAAGCTGACCCCAAGGAGATCTTTGGTGTTTTTCGTGAACCGGAGGTTTTTGTTCAGGCCGCATTGACTGCCAAACACCCGATAGATTACGCATTCCCGTTGCCGGATGCCTTGTTGGAAGCAATTGCAAGGGTGATTTCGGAGGGACCGAAACTCACCATTGCCAGACGGAAGTTGGCCTTGAAGAAGATTCAGGTGAGAGCTAACAGACTAAGGGTCTAGGAACTGGAGCTGCAGTCCGGTCTTGATCCCAAGATTGCTAGAGTCATAGAAGGGAAGAACCTCCTTCTGTGGAAAGAGCTCATGGAGGAAACAGGCTTTGACGATGCGAACCTGTTCGATGAGTTTTGCAAGGGCTTCAAAGTAACCGGTAAAGCAACCCATTGTAATGAGTTTCCCCACGGTTTTCAGCCACCCCTCAGGTCTGTGGATGACTTGAAGCAGAACGCCGTGTGGCTTAGGAAGCGGTCCATAGGTAAGTGCGTGGGTTCTGGCAACCGTGAAATGGATTGTACTGTATGGAGCAAGACTCTCAAAGAACGAGACTGTGGATGGATTTGTGGTCCTTTCACCGAGCAGGAGGTGGACGCCCAGCTGGGTCATTCCCACTGGTTGGCCACTCGCAGGTTCGGGCTACAGCAGCCCAATAAAGTTCGGTTGATTGATGACTGCTTGTCCTCAGGTGTCAATTCCGCTTTCACGGGGACCAACAAGCTGACCCTCATGGGGGTTGATGCCCTGGCGTCCTTAGTGCTTTGTGTGATGATCTCGTCAGGCGGGGACAGCTTTTTGGTCGAGCCTAGTCCGTTGTGGCATGGTAAGCTAGAGTTGCTTGGCAGGACTGTTGACCTGGAGTCAGCATACAAGCAGGTAGCAGCCAGTCCCGAAGATGACTGGGCCAAGATCATTGTAGTTTTAAACCCGGATTCCGGACAGCCGGCCTTCTTTGTCACCACAGCCTTGATGTTCGGCGCCACCTCCAGTGTGTACAGCTTCAACCGTGTCAGCAAGTCGATCTGGCACATAGCTTGTAAGCTTTTCAACCAATGGTGCATTAACTACTACGATGACTACCCTTGTCTAGACCCATCTGAACTTGTAGCTTCAGGAGCACAGTCGTTCGAAGGCCTGCTCGAGGCCCTGGGTTGGAGGTTCGATAGTGCAGGCCCCAAGGCCACTAAGCACGCGCAGGTCTTCGATGTCCTGGGCATTCGTGTTGACTTGTCCAGTTCCCATGTAGGAAGTGTCTCCTTGGAGAACAAGCCCACCAGAGCCGAGCGACTTCTGGAGCAGGTCTCCGCCACTCTGACGGAAGGCCGAGTGCACTCGTCAATGGCCGCCACACTGCACGGCCAGTTAAACTTTGCGCAGAGCTTCTATTCCATATGCAATCTCAAGCCAGCTATGCTGATCCTTTCGGAAATTGCCAATTCGGGTTGGAAGTCTAGGCATGCCAAGCTGTGGGCAGTTGCGGCTGCATACTTGGCATTCGCTTTAAATAATTCCCCCCCTAGGACTCTTTCCATCCAGGATGAACAGCGGCCCATCCTTATTTTCTCAGACGGGGCTTGGGAGCCCGAGAGCTCCGTGAAGGCGGGAGCCGGAGTCGTGTTCATAGATCCCGTCTTAGGAACTAGGATTGTTAATGAGGTCAGCGTTGACCCTAGGCTCTTAGAGAGGTGGCTGCGTTTGGGAAAGACCCAAATCATCGCCGAGCTCGAGTTGTTGCCCGTACTTGCAGGACTTTCTCACTATGCAAAAGCTGTTCGTGGAAGGAGGGTCTTGTGGTTTGTGGACAACAATTCCGTTCGAGACATGCTAGCTAAGGGTTCTTCGCCTACCCTTGAACTCTTTACTATGCTGGTGGAGGTGGGCAGACTCACCCACATAGTTCAGGCGATGCTTTGGTACTCGCGTGTGCCTTCCAAAAGCAACATCGCGGATCTCCCTTCAAGGCAGCTGCCAGAGCAGGCGGCGAAGCTAATTGAGGGAGTCGTTGGCCCGAAATTGTTCTTGGAGGAAGACATGATCAAGGTATGCATCGATGCCACCTCTTTCATTGACTTCATGGAAGAGTGCTGTCACGAAGTGAGAGCATTATCTTTTAGTACTATGTAGTGCTAACTCTATTTGCGAGGAAGCACGCCCTTTTGTAGCTCTTGCTAGTATGTGGTAGTCTACCCTATTCACACATGGTGGATAGCCATGCTATGGTGCCCGAGACACCACACATCTTACAAAATTTTAAAAACTCTTTTGTCTCTCATGTTTGGCAAAATAAACTTTGTTTATTTGCTTTATCTCATAAGAGATTCTTGTCATGTCTCAATGCATACATTGCACAAGAACATGCATTCAGTTTGTCGTCATTGCTGTTACATTCAATCCTGTACTCCCTTCTTTTT